AGCCTACTGCTCTCTCTCTCTCTCTCTCTCTCTCTCTCTCTTTACAAGAGAAAACGCTACCGATTGAATATAAAGATTTCTATCCATACGGGAACTTAGTTTACCGGTGTAGATATCTCATTTTATTTAAAAAATTTTTAAAATAAAAAAACCATATAATGAATCCGATTGAGAAATTTTAGATTTAATAAGATAAAAGATTTAAAATTTTTAATTGAAATTTGATTTTAATTTTTATTTTAATCTTGATTTTGATTTTAATTTTAATTTAGATTTTTAAATTTAGTTTGATTTTAATTTTGTGATTTATTTTGATAAAAAAATAAAAAAGTCAAAAAACCAAAAAGGAAAGAACGAATTCATTTTGAATAATCTTGAATTTTTTTATCTCAATCTTCATGAAAGTGAAAAGTTACAAGAAATTAAATTAAATCAAATCACAAAAAAATCTCATATTATATAAATTTTTTTCAAATTTAAAAGGATTAAATCTTTATAAAAAAAAATACGAATAACAAGCACACAAAAATCATATAAGAAGAGACAAAAGGCAATAAGCAAATTCCAATTGTTGGAGCATGCAAAAATTTTTTTGGGTTTGGATTTTGTTTGGAGATTCGTTTGAGTTTTTATTTGGATTTGGATAATTTAATTTTTGGGTTTTGAAAGTTAGGTCGCTTTTGGGTTTTTTGGGTTTCTAGAATTTTCATTTGAGTGTTTTGGAAATTTTTTGGAGCTTTTTTTTTTGGGTCTGGGTTATGGGTTTTCTTCTTGAATTTGGCTTTTGGATTTGATTATAGAGCTATTTGAGCTTTGAGAAAGTTGTCTTAAATTTAAGAATTTTTTGTTTGAATTTTTGAATTTGATTTGAAATTTTAGGATTTGATTTGAATTTTTAGATTTTTTTTTTTGGATTTTGTTACGAATTTTTCGTTAAAAATTTGAATTTCCTACTAGGCTTACGACGGTTGGAGGGATTTCAGGGCAACCATCTTCTGGAATTCACAGTGGTTTATAGGTTATATTGAGTTTTTCTATACCCTTTGAATTTTTCAACGCCGATGCTGGAGTTTGGTTAGCCGGTTGAATTTTTAGGTTGAAGTGTAGATAAAAGGCAGAGGAAACTAGTTTTAGAAAGAGAGAAGGCGTTGAGTTGTTTTGAGGAAAATAGAAGAATTTTGCCTTTTATACCTAAGCCAAACGATGCCCTTTTGGCAAAGGAGCTGACCTGCATGAACTCGTGGGATCCGCACCTCAATTTGTTTCACGATTCGACCTGCAGCGTAAGTTTTTTCTTTCTTTTTTTTTTTAATTTATTTTCTGCTTTGATTTTTTTATATTTTATATTTTATTTATATTTTAATATTTATATTTTAATATTTATTATTTTAAAAGGTTGATTGAATTAATGTGGTGTGAAAAGAAAAAGAAAAAACAATTTATTTTTTGCATGATGTTTTTATGAGTTTAATAAAGTTGCATGATTTTTTGATATCTAATTGTATGTTTTTATATTTATTGTATGATTTATTAAATATATTTTGTATAATTGTATGATTATATTTAATTACATGATAATTAATATATTTACATGATATTATATTATTATTGCATGATATTTTTTGCATGATAATTTTTACAAGATAATTTATATTTATTTTAATTGATATTGCTTTTCAAATTTAAGAGAAGGGTTTTCAAAAACAATAAATTTTTAATACTATCAAATTATTAGAATATTTAAATTTTGAATTAAATCTTATCAAATTATTGAAAGATTTAATGAATTTTTTTTGAAAAAAATATATTTTTAAATTCTATCAACATATTAAAAAATAATTATTGATAGAAAATCTTACCAACATATTGAAAGATATTTTTAAAAATAAATTATTTCTAAAAATAAATTATTTATTTATAAAATTAGATTTTGATTGATTATCACAAATGAAATTTTTTTTCACAAAAATTAAATAAATTTGATAATGGAGACTCTTTAAAGTGAGATATTAATATCTGTGAATACTCTTATATTAAATTGTTATCAAACTATTGGAGTAATTTTAAAATAAATTTTTAATAATTACATTATTTGGTAAATTATAAAAGTATTCTAAAGTTTAAATAATTTAAAATCAAACTAGTATCATCTTTTAAATGAATGCTGTAAGGGTATTATAATCTTCTTTATGCGTAAACGCATGTTCGAACTTAAAATTTGACTTCGTAAACTAAAATTTAATTTTTAAAAATGCTTGATTCAAATTTGAGATATCTCTTTAAAATAGAATAAATTCAGTTATATGATCAATCACATCTATATAAAAAAATTGATAATGATTCTTTAAATTTATGTCTAGTAATAAGATTATTGATCTATACATTATAATAAATAATATATTTTAATATTTTATAACCTCAACAAATATAAGAATTCTTAATTGTAAAATTTCTTTTTATTTTGTTGTATAGTTACCATTGCTTGGGGTTTATGGTTGGAGGAATAAGATTTGGTTGCCTAAAGTGTGTGGGAAATGCCAATGAGAATGAGGAACATATATAAGTACATGACAATTATTAATTATTACACTTTTAAATTTCCAATTTCTCTCAAATGCTTTTGGATGTGATATGCAACATGACATAAATCCTACGATAGTATGTGCTCATTCAAAACAGGTTTCACACTATAATATTCCTCTAACAGGAAATTCTTGGGTGATTAAATTTAGTATAGAATCTTGTGATCTTTCTATGAGTTAGTGTGAAGATTTAGGGTGATTAAATTCTTGGGTATTGATTAAAAATTTAAAGTATACATAATAAATTGTCCTTTTTCAATAATTCTAATAACGTTTCCATACCAAAAAAAAAAAAAAAAAAAATTTGGTTCGCAATCAAATACTCTAACCTCGCAAAAATCTGCAATAGATGTGGAAAATCATTTGAACTCTGATTTAGTTTCAATAAATTCCACAAATTTAAAAAAGTTTGTCTAAATTTGGTTCTTTTACGAGCTTACTTTACTGGTCTTAGTCTTCAACTTCAATTTTAATAAAGTTTATATATATTTTTTTGTATAAAAGAGACCAAAATCTAAAACGTATAAGAGAAAAAAATTATGAATGTTGAAAATCGAATTTTAGCTTTACGAAAGAATTTGCCTCTTAAGTGGATAAATAATTTGGATTAAACCCTAATTTCAATGAATTACAATGTTAAATTCCAACGGTTAAAGTTGAGTGATGTTTTCTGTCTTAGACACGAAAAAAGATTCAGCCAAGTGATTCTTTTTCTTGATGGCGCAATTGAAAATATATCAATCTAAACCTTATTTTATCATGTAGCACATATTAGTAAAAAAATATTATTTTTTAAAAATACTAAAAATTTTTTTGGTACTGAAAAATACTAAAAATTTTGTTTCTTTAGTTTTAGAAAATATATTAATTGTTATTTAATTAAAAAAACATGATTTTTTATAATAAAAAAATTATTTCATGCCAACATTTTACGCTATTATAATATTGTCATATCATCTAAATTAAAGGTAAAATTTCAATCCCGTTATTTATTGTCCTTAAATTTTTTTAATAAAAATATAAGTATTAAATATTTTGAAATTCAGGGATTAATACTATCAATGTGGGATAATAAATAGACTAAACTCGAATTTTTGGATAAAAAAAATGTTAAATGTTTAATTTGAAATTAAACATTTAGATAATTATTTAATTTTAAATTAAATATTTTATTTTATACAAATAAAAATAAAATCTTATCGATTTATAACAATATACCACTTTTATTAACAAAAGTATGATTATAAAAGACATGCATCTTCGTAACAAAACGCATAAAAAAAGGAAATTCAAGCTGACTTAACATTTTTATGCTAATATTAATCAAAACTCAAAAAAAAAAAAACCAAAATAATAATTAAAATAATTAATTTCATAAAAACAAAAACTTTTCAACTTTCTCTTTTTATTATCATAGCTTCAGATTTTTTTTCCTAACTTTTCTTCCATCATTTCGTAGATATGCACAAGATGACTCCCCTTTTTTTTCTTTCAATTTTTTTTTCTCTATTCAACTCCTTTCTTTTAGTATCTACTTTCTTTCTTTAATTGTAACTTTCTTTTCCTTCCAACAGCTTTATTCACAACACAAAATTTATCCGCTTTAGTCGTGTGTTTTTGGATATAGTGTGTTTTATAGTCTTGAGTTTATGATTTTTTTTATTTAAAGTAATAGTAAGTAATTGAAAATCTGTTCGTTGTAAACCAAAAACACCAAATGAATCAAAATTCTCTCACAATTTTCCAAAAAAAAAAAAAAAAATTCACCTTCTCTCTGTCATTAATGGCTCAAGTTAGTATCTTGAAGGCATTTTTGGTGGCTTTGTAAATTTTCTTCCAGTCTAGCACTCGTAACTTCACTTTAGGAGCAGCCTCAACAAAAGTGGAAGATAAGGAGTTTGTTGAACAACACGACTTTCCCTGAGTTACTAACACTAGCCTAGAGACATCTGAAAATAGGTTAATTGGGATATCAACCTAAGGGCTAAATGATGATGCGGCAATGGCAATCTTACAGATGGGTTGAGAATCGGAGAGGAAAAGCGTTTTGTTAGGTGAAAAAAGGAAAATTAGTTTTTGAAGATGTGTTTGGATTTAAGAAAATTATTGTTCGGCTGTAATTTATTTGTTATAACATGGTGGCTATGAAAATTTTGAAAAATTAGAGAAAGAGGGGTGTGAGAAAGAATTGATGAGAAAAGAACACAGAGAGAGAAAGAAAAAGAAAATACAAATGGAAAGTTAAGCATTTTAATCTTATTTTATTTTTATATTTTTTTATGAGTTCAACAACCAAATTTGATTTTTTTTTTAATTCTAACTTAAAAACAAATTTGATTATTTCCAGTTCAATTTATCGACACGTGTTTTTGATAATTTTATTTTCGTTTGTAAAAATTTCAAATTATTAAAAATAAATAACATTTAATCTTTATTCATATAAAATAAAACATTTAATACTGAATTGATTAACTATCTAAAACATTTAATCCCAAACTAAATATTTATTGAAAAAGATTAAAAAAAAGAAGAAAACAATAGTTTCAATCAAGTGAGATGAGAGTTGGTCAAAACTCAGCAACTTGGGTCTGATCAAAATAGCAGCCGGTAGGACCTCCATCGGGAATGAGAGCACATTTAATAGGACCTTTAGCACCCTCTTCAGTAGTTATTATCCCTGTGTGCCAATTCAAGTCGGTATTAACATACCCAGGATGAACACAATTTATGCGCATGTTGGGATACTTTCTGGCAAGAATTCTTGTGTAAGCATTAAGCACTGCCTTTGAAATGCTGTAAGCTGGCAGCATAATCGACCAACCATTGGCTTCAAGTGTATTTTCTCTAAAATCCTTCAAGAATCTTTGCAATATGCCATTCAGTTTCTCTTCAGTCAGATTCTCTATATCACCAAGTTCATTTCTGATGCTTTCGCTTGGAATCCTCTGCAAAATTTGAAGCTTTTATTATGCAATTTGTGATGGCATTAAATTTCAAGGCCTCTTCCTAGCCCTTGAGAAAATGCTTCAACAACAGTTAAGCCTCTAATTTTAATTACTTTGTTTAGGTGATTAGTACTGAAACTTTCTATGGATTAAAACAAGAAAAAGTCAAACCGAAATTTAGTCTAATTGATTCATACAGCTCTTTTAAAGGTTAGCTTTCAACAGGTATCCCATTAGCTGCAATCAATTGCCCTATCTTCAAACTGTAGCCTCTGTTCTAAAAAAAAATTCCTAAAAATTATTATTATTGTTTTTTAACAATCATGATGGTAGAAATAGGGAGGGAGGAAAAGAGGATGCAAGTACCTTTAATTCGCTTCTAAGAGAAGAAACATTAACAATCCTAGCTCCTGAACTGGAAAGCTGAAGCAGAGGGAGGAGGGTCTCCGTCACTCTTTGGACACCATAGTAATTAGTATTCAAACATACTTGTGCCTCTTCATATGTGTACTTAATCACTCTTTGAACCATCTTGGCCACCTCGCCAGAGAGCTGAACCAACAATCAGCTGATTCGAATAGATGATAAAGCAACAAGAAAGATTTTTCTTTTTAACCAAAAAAAAAAAAAAAAAAACTCATGTCTGAAGAGGCTTGAACTTGAGATCTAAGGTTCTAAGACCTTTTTCTTACCAACCAAACAAGACTTTTTGGCAAGCAACAAGAAATTTGAACATATAAATAATTAGAAGATTTAACAATTTAGCCATATCATTAGATTTTAACATAAAAATAATTATTAAAATGAAAAATTATCACAAATTTTAAACTTCATTGTAATTAAGAGATGCCACAGATTTCTTAAAATATAATAAAAAATAAAATTAAAAATTAAAAAATATATATCAGTTTGTTAAATCCTTTTATGAAATTATAGAATTTCACTATCAATATATCAAAATCGATCTCTATTAAAATACCCCAAATGTCTTTTTTATCAAAAATCATAATCTGAATTAAGTTTCTACTTACCCATGCTGTAGGATCTATGCCTAAGGCTCTAAGGCGGTCTTCATCAACTATAGCGCCGCTAGCTCCTGCATTATTAACCTGTTAACAATTGAAATGATCTGATGAGCAAATCCAGTACTTCCAATTAAGTTCATGGAATAGAAACTAATTGCCTAATTCGGATTTAAGAGCATTTTTTTCCCTAACTGGTTGGTTAGGAAAAAAATTGTTATTGAAATAGAGTTTTTATTTTTTTTAACAACTATTGTCAAATTACAAAATTTTGAAATAACAATCAATTTTTTATTTTAAAATTTCATTATATTTGTCTATTAAATTTTCAATATTAAAAAAAAAAAAAAACTCCAATTTAACATCTCAACCTTAAATGTTGGCTAATCAATAAATTGGATTAGAATTAATTTTTGCAATTTTTTTGGCAAAATTTTTCAGAATTTTATACCATGAAAAAATTCTTTCTTTTTTTTTTAATAAAAAAATTACATAAAATTTTATATGTGAAATTTATAAAATTATTTATTAAAAATAAATAAATAAAAATTAAAATCGATAAATTAAAAAATTTTATTACATAAATCATTCATATAAAATTTTTAAAATTTTTAAAAATTTTAATATATTTAGTAAATAAGTATTTTAAGTAAAAAATATTGATAAAATATTTATAATTAAATAAATATTCATTAAATTTGAATTATAAATATATTATAAATAATTTTTTTACATATTATAAACTTTTTTATTAAATTTTATTAAATTATTAATTTAAAATTTTTATTTACATGATTGTAATAAAAAAACTTTCAAGAATTTCACTTGCGAAACTTTAATTTTTTTTTTCTTTTTATAATGGCTAAAATCATTTATTTTGACTCATATTGGAGGGTAGATCTCAAAATATAGAAATAGAAGGAAGAAACTAGAAATTTGATGAGGAATTTTGCTATATATATCATCCTTACCAAGATGTCAAGCCTCCCAAACTCTCGAGATATGAAATCTGCCAAGGATTCAATGCTAGCCTCATCCAAAACATCAAGTTGATGGAAAACTACATTTGACAATCCCATCTGGTGGAGCTTTGCGGTTGCCTCCTTTCCTCTCACCTCATTTCTAGCTGCTAACACAACCGTTACGCCCTTTGAAGCAAGTTGCCTTGCAATCTCATATCCGATGCCCTTGTTTGCTCCGGTCACTACTGCATACCTACAATACCAACATGGAAAAATCCCAATTAAATGACAGCCAATTTTAATGCCTAGGTGGGCTTCAAAATGGACCGCGACTTAACCTCTCAGCTTCAAGCTTTCCACGGTTCTCCATTTCTGCGACTCTTGAGGGCCTGATAGAAGTAAACAGGGCAATAGCAATAGCAAAATCAAGGTTTCAAGGGCAACTTTGGAAACCAGTTAATAACACTTATTGTTACTGAGTTTTTTATGCGCATCGAAATTCGAAAAGAAAAGAAATATTCTCTCATGCTTTGAGATTAAAAGCTAAAGAAAAACATAATAATTGTTTAAGATGTGGTTTTGATATTACCAAAAAAGAGTGAACAGCTGTCATACAATCACTCTGTCCTATTATTTTATTTTATTTTTATAAAAAATATAGATATTAAAATTTAAATTAAATTTATTAAATATTATTTTTTAAAATATAATTATATAAATTTATTAAATTAAACAATAATTTATTTATGTATATTTGTTTTTCAACTATTTAGTGTATAGATGAAGAAAATATTCTTTTTATTACTAAAAAACTAATAAAATTTTTTATTATTTTATTTAAAGGTGAATATCTAATTTCATCTAAATTTATGATTAATATTTTTATAATTTTAAATTAAATTTAAAAGTTAATAAAAATCATTAAAAAATAAAAATAATTTAAACAAATATGAATAATAAATTATGTGAAAATACATTATTTATTTTTAAATAAATAAAAAACTTTTACTATTTTTTGAATAATAAAAAAAAATTTTCCCAGATAGATGACATCATAGGAGGGTGAGATTTATTTATTTATTTATTCATTGTGATTGAATCCATTACATCTAGATTAAATTATTTTTGTTTCCAGTTTTATAGTAAAAATTTCGCACCGACTTTTCTATCTTTTGCAAGGAAAGTTGAAAATCTGTCTCAATTTATGTAATCTTAGGCAATTTTGAATTGCCTCCCCAAGTTTTTTTAAATGAGCTTTTTGACTTTCTGAAATCTTTAAAAATTACCTTTTTCGTAGTGAAAAAAAAAAAGAAAATGCCAAGGTGCAGCCGTTTTAGTCTATTCATGCCATCTCATTTCTTATATGTTGAAATAAAATCTTTAAATTGAACATGGAATGATCAATTAGAAATAGGGAAAAAAATAGTAATAAACAGTTAATAAAAAATGGACCATATTGATAGATCAGATTGATTGAATTGAAAGTTAATAGTTTATCCGGTCTTATAACATGTATTTGATCGAGTTTTCTTTGAATTAGTCAACAGTCGGTTGAAGCGATAATTTAATTAATTTTTAATTTATTTTATTATTCAAAATTTATTTTTAAGAAATTTGAATTTTTAATCTTTTAATTTTATAATAAAAATATACCATTAAGTCAAATACATTTTTTGTTTTTAAAAAATAATTTTTTGATAATTATTAATTATATGCAATACTTGTTTAAAATAAAAATAATGTGCTTAGAATTAACAAGCTTGAAATTCGGCTTAATTCCTTATCTTTATAGGAGTTGGAAGAAGATAGAAATCTTATATGACAAAGGGAAAATTTTATCAAAAGTATTCATAAATTATTTATTTGAATAAAATATTAAAATTTTTGAAAAATATAATCAATAAACTTTATTAATTTATTATTCAAAAGAGGATCAAAATAATTATAAATCTGGCACGCATTTAGATCATTTAATTAAGGATATATGTTCGACCATGGCCCAAAACCTGGCCATTTGAGTCAAAATACAGCCACTTGGGTCCAATCAAAGTAACACATGTTGGGCGTCGATTAGGTATAAGAACACAGGCCCTTTAACCCCTTCTTCCACGCTTGTGTGAAAATTCAGGTCGGTCTTGACATAATCAGGATGTAACACAAGTTATGCACATTTTCGGCTACTTTCTGGCAATGATTCTCGTCTAGGCATTGAGGGCTGCTTTGGATATGGTGTGTTTTATAGTCTGGATTTAGGATTTTTTTGGTTTAAAATAATAGTGAGTAATTGAAAATCTGATGGTTGTAAACCAAAAACATCAAACAAACCAAAATTCTCTCACAATTTCCAAAAGAAAAAAAATTCTCACCTTCTCTCTTTCATTAATTGCTCAAGTTGGTATCTTGAAGGCTTTTTTGCTGGCTTTCTAAATTCTTCTTTCAGTCCAACACTCACATCTTCACTTCAGGAGCAGCCTCAACAAAAGTGGAGGACAGATAGGGAGTTTGTTGAATAGCACGACATTCTCTGAGTTACTAACACTAGCCTGGAACATTTGAACATAAGTTAATTGGGATATCAACCTAAGGGCCAAATGATGACGCGGCAACGACGATCTTGCAGATGGGTTGAGATTTGGAGAGGAAAAGGATTTTATTAGATGAAAAAAGGAAGATTAATGTTTAAAGATTTGTTTGGATTTAAGAAGATTACTGTTGGACTGTGATTTGTTTGTTATAACAGTGGTGGCTATGGAGAATTTGAAAAATTAGAGGAGGGGTGTGAGAAAGAATTCATGAGACGAATATATAGAGAGAAAGGAAAAGAAAATAAAAGTAGAAAGTTAAAAACCAATATGATTATTTTCCTGCACAATTTAATGGGACGTGTCTTTAACAACTTTGTTTTCGTTTATAAAAATTTTAAATTATTATAAGTCAATTAATATTTATTTATATAAAATAACATGTTTAATCTTAAATTAAACAATCACCCAAATATTTAATTTCAAATTCAACATTTAGTGAAAAAAGAAAGCAATAGTTTCAATCAAGTGAGATGAGAGTTGGTCAAAACTCAGCAACTTGGGTCTGATCAAAATAGCAGCCGGTAGGACCTCCATCAGGAATGAGAGCACATTTAATAGGACCTTTAGCACCCTCTTCAGTAGTTATTATCCCCGTGTGCCAATTCAAGTCGGTATTAACATAACCAGGATGAACACAATTTATGCGCATGTTGGGATACTTTCTGGCAAGAATTCTTGTGTAGGCATTGAGCACTGCCTTTGAAATGCTGTAAGCTGGCAGCATAATGGACCATCCGTTGGCTTCAAGTGTATTTACTATGAAATCCATCAAGAATCTTTTCAATATGCCATTTAGTTTCTCTTCAGTCAGATTCTCTATATCACCCAGTTCATTTCTGATGCTTTCACTTGGAATCCTCCGCAAAATTTGAAGCTTTTATTCTGCAATTTGTGATGGCATTAAATTTCAAGGCCTCTTCCTAGCCCTTGAGATGATGCTTCAACAACAGTTTAAGCCTCTAATTTTAATTACTTTGTTTTGGTGATTAGTACTGAAACTTTTTATGGATCAAAACAAGAAAAAGTTGAACCGAAATTTAATCCGATTGATTCATTCAGCTCTTTTAAAAGTTAGCTTTCAACAGGCATCCCATTAGCTGCAATCAATTGCACTATCTTCAAACTGTAGCCTCTGTTCTAAAAAAAAATTCCTAAAAATTATTATTATTGTTTTTTAACAATGATGATGGTAGAAATAGGGAGGGAGGAAAAGAGGATGCAAGTACCTTTAATTCGCTTCTAAGAGAAGAAACATTAACAATCCTAGCTCCTGAACTGGAAAGCTGAAGCAGAGGGAGGAGGGTCTCCGTCACTCTTTGGACACCATAGTAATTAGTATTCAAGCATACTTGTGCCTCTTCGTATGTATACTTAATCACACTTTGAACCATCTTGGCCACCTCGCCAGAGAGCTGAACCAACAATCAGCTGATTCAAATAGATGATAAAGCAACAAGAAAGATTTAAAAAAAAACTCATGTCCGAATAGACTTGAACTTGAGATCTAAGGTTCTAAGACTTTTTTCTTACCAACCAAACGAGACTTTTTGGCAAGTAACAAGAAATTTTAACATATAAATAACTAGATTATAACTTATATGATGTACGAAATAATTTTATTTATTTAATGTGAATATATATATATATACAAATTAATTTTTTTTTCAAAACTATATTCAAATCTTTAAAATTCATAACATATATAAAATTTATATATATTGATTTGTCATTAAAAACTAAACTTTATGAAAACAATAAAAAAAATGTCTTTCTTTTGGATATTTTTGTTTATAATAATATTTATACACCTGTAAAATTATATTAAATAAAAATAAATTATATCTTTTTAAAAAAAACAAAAAATATATTATTGAATGATAAATTAAATAATAAAAGAAGTATTAACATGTTTTCTCTTTAGTAATCTTGATTAAATTATTATACAAAATATGAAAAATGTGAAAAAATATGTGAAAAAATAAATTGAAAAAAATATTATTTTTTATAAGAATGAAATTATAATAACAATAAACTATATCTTAGAAAAAATTTATAAACAAAAAAAAAATTGCAATAGTAATAAAATACAAATTTGAAAAAAGTTATTGAAAAAAATAAAAAAATTGATGTATAACACATTACATTTGTAATCTTAAATTTGTAAAATAATTTTTTTGTGATAATTAAGATTAAATAGATAATTTTTAAATTAATTTTTTAAATTTTAAAATGGATATAATAAGTGATAATGATAATATTAAATTTTTTACATTTATTTAAATATAAATTTGATAATTAGAGTTTAAATGGATATAATCATTTTGATAATCTTATTATTTAAAGATTTAAGATAAAAAAATTTTAAAATTTCAAATCTTACATAAAATTAATTAAATTTTTAATGTCTTAAGTAAATTTTTTAAAAAGATAATTTTTTAAATCAAGATAAAAAATATTATTGAAAGTTTTGAATAAATTTAATCTTTGTAATTTTTACACATGTTTGAAAGATTTTGATAAGTAAATAAATTTTTAAATAAAGTTATTTGATAAACAACTATAATTATTTATTAAAAATTATATTTCATATTTTTTATTTTAGAATATATATCTCTAAATTGATTTGATTTTTAATTATAATTTGAATAATTTTGATATTTAAATAAATTTAAAATTATTTAATCTATAATTAAAAGAAATTATCTTATTTTTTTAAAAATTATCTTATGTGTAATTTAATAGAGTTGTTCACATAAAAGCTTATATGACAAACTTATTTGTATATGTTATTATAATATATATATATATATTATAGATTAGAAGATTTAACAATTTAGCTATACAATTAGATTTTAATGTGCAAATAATTATTAAAATGGAAAATTATCACGATTTTTTAAACCCCATTGTAATTAAGAGATGACAAATATCTCTTAAAATATAGTAAAAAAATAAAAATACTAATTAAAAATATGTATCAATTTATTAACTCTTTTTGTGAAATTATAAATTTTACTATTAATATATCAAAATTGAACTCTATTAAAATACTATTCTATCAGGGTAATTTAATAGAGTTCATTTTTATTGAACAGGGTAATGGCAATAGCAAAATCAAGGTTTCAAGGGCAACTTTGGAAATCAGTTAGTGACAACACTTAATGTTACTGAATTTTTAATGCGCATCAAAATTCGTAAAAAAAATAAAGAAATATTCTCTCATGGCTTTGAGATAATTCAAGGTCTTGAATTATTTTTTAATTAAAAATTAAATTATTTAAATTACAATCATACGTTAAAAAAATTATAATAATTATTTAAAATTTAATATATATAAATTCTCTTTTATTAAGTAAATGAATTTAAATATGAAATATTCTAAAATTAAAAAAAATCTTGAATAACGTTTTTTTTTTTTAAATCATACTTTCTTTCAAACTCTTCGATTATACGAACCTAATGTTTTCTAAAATAAAAAAAAATATATAATGATTGTTTAAGATGTGATCTTGATATTACCCAAAAAAAAAAACGGTGAACAGCTGTCATACAATGACTCTGCCCTATTATTTTATTTTATTTTTATAAAAAATTATAATTTAATATAAAAAATATAAATATTAAAATATAAATTAAATTTATTAAATATTATTTTTTAAAATATAATTATATGAATTTATTAAATTAAACAATAATTTATTTATGTAATTTTTTCAACTATCTTTTTATTACTTAAAAATTAGTAAAAAGGTGAATAATCTAATGTTAGGGAAGGCAAAAAAATTCGTACCCAACGGGTTTCGGTCCGACCGGATTTTTTAAGGTCGGTTTTTTTTTTTTTTGAAAATCGGGGGTCGGGTCGGGGTCGAGTCGGGTAGCATGAAGACAAAGTCAGGGTCGGGTCGGGGTCGAGTTTTAGGTAAACCCGACCCTACCCAACCCGATATATATAAAAATAATTTTTTAATTAATTTTTTAATTATATATATTTATATAATGATATTTTTAAATATTTATATTTAAAAAATAATATTTTATTAATTTAGGATCGGGTCGGGTCCGGTACGGTTTATATAGTGTCGAGTCGAGTTCGGGTTCGGTTATGAAAAAACAAAAAAAATTTCGAGTAAGATCGGGTTCAGGTTTTTTAAGCATTAAATCGGGTCGGGTTCGGGACGAGCAAAACCCGCCCTGAACCCGACCCGATGCCAACCCTATCTAATATCATCTAAATTTATGATTAATATTTAATAATTTTAAATTAAATTTAAAAGTTAATAAAAATTATTAAAAAATAAAAATAATTTAAAAAATAAATCAAATAAAAAAATATCAATCATAAGTTATATGGAAATGTATTGTTCTTTTTTAAATAAAATAAAAAAAGTTTTACTATTTTTTTAATAATAAAAAAATTTTCCCCAGATAGATGACATCATAGCCGTCAGATTTAATTATGTATTTTTCATTGTGATCGAATTCATTGCATCTAGATTAAAATATTTTTGTTTCAAGATTTATAATAAAATTTTCACACCCAATTTTCTCTGTTCGGAAAGATCAAAGTCACATCCTATCCGGCCACCGGATTAGCTCTTGCATGGAAAGTTGAAAATTTGTCTCCTTTTATGTAATCTTAGGCAATTTTAATTGCGTCCCCGAGTTTTTCTAAAAGAGCTTTTTGACTTTCTGAAATCTTTGAAAATAACCTTTTTCGTAGTGCAAAAAAAGAAAATGCCAAGGTGCGGCCGTTTTGGTGTATTCATGCCTTACTGATTTCTTACATGTTGAAATAAAATCTTTAAATTGAACATGGTATGATCAATTAGTAATAGGGACAAAAATAGTAATAAAAAGTAAATAAAAAATGGACCATATTGACAGATCAGATTGATTGAATTGAGAATTGATAATTTATCCGGTCTTATAACATGTATTAAATCAAATTTTCTTTGAATTAGTCAACACGATATTGAAACGATAATTAATTTGATTGTTAATTTATGTTCGTTTTTAAAATTTATTTTTAATAAATTTAAATTTTTAATCTTTTAATTTTATAATAAAAATATACCATTTAGTCAAATACATTTTTTGTTGTAAAAAATAATTTTTTGCTAATTATTAATTATATTTAATACTTATTTAAAATAAAAATAATGTGCATAGAATTAAAAAGCTTGAAATTCGGCTTAATTCCTTATCTTTATAGGAGTTAGAAGAAGATAGAAATATTACATGACAAAGGGAATATTTTATCAAAAGTATTCATAAATTACTTATTTGTATAAAATATTAAAATTTTTTAAAAAATATAGTTAATAAACTTTATTAATTTATTATTCAAAAGAGGATAAAATAATTATAAATCTGACACGCATTTAGACCAATTAATTAAGGATATATGTTCGACCATGGCCCAAAAACTGGCCATTTGAGTCAAGATACAGCCACTTGGGTCCAATCAAAGTAACACATGTTGGGCCTCTATTGGGTATAAGAGCAAAGGCATGCAGTTTCCCTTCGTAAGATTAGCTACATCACTGAGTTTAATTCTGATGCACTCGCTAGGAATCCTCTTCGTTGAGTGAAAATTAATTTCTGTTAGACAAGTATGTCGTCAATAAAAGAAAGATTCTTATTATCTATTGACAGTGAATGATATCATTAATATTTGAAATATTTGATATTCGTGCATTAAAAGATTATATGATATATATAACGATGATAATTAAAAAAAAGAGAGAGCATACGTACCTTGAACTCACCTCCGAGTGAGGAGATATTAACGACAATTGCACCCGAAGGGAAAAGCTGCAAGACTGGAAGGAGAGTTTCTGTTACTTTCTTTGCACCATAGTAATTAGTCTTCCAGCATTGTTGTGCCCCTTATAAGTTTGCCTAGGCACACCTTGAACCATCTTGGCTGCCTTACCAAAGAGCTGCATCAACAGTTAGCTGATTAGGGATCCCGTTACCAGGTTCATGGCTCGTACTTTTGAAGGCTTGACTTAACCATGCTGTAGGATCTATATTTAAGGCTAAATTTCAAGACACCTAGACCAGCTGTCACCTCACTAGCACCGGCATTATTAACCTTTGAAGAAATTACATGATCCTATGATTAGTAACTTATTTCATTTCTTAATGACTTAATAGAATACAAGAGAGTATATATGAAAAAGTCTTGGATTCAAGCCTATAGGGCTTAGGCAAGGATTGGGCAGGGCTAGGGAACAAATTAAATGTGGAATAAATTGACATCTTGATCGATTCACTTCAGAATTCTTTTCTGTTCTCCACTTGGTATGAAATCAGTAATCCTAAGAAAGAACTGGTTGGCTGGTTTCCTTTTCTGTGTTTGAGCCAGCCACCGGCCTAATGAATAATGATTATTCGGTAACTTTTAAAGAGTATGTCTTAGTCAACAAGTTAAAACAGAGATTATGACACGACAAGAGAAACAAGGAAAAAGGAAAAAAACAGGTGGGCCAAGAAGGGGAGGGAGGGATGGCAATATAGAAGTCTATGAACCTTTTATCAAAACCTTAATTTGATCTCAAAGGAGAAAAACAACCAATCATAAAAGGGGTAAGCAATAGATTAAACAAAATCATTTCTCATTACCAATATATCAAGCCTCCCAAACTTTTCTCCTAGGAAGCGGCCAACAATTCGATGCTAATCATATCCTGAATCAAGAACAAAAGTTTGTTTATATATATATATATATATATATATTTATATTTATAGTGTACGTTTTTAACTCCACTAATAGAGTGAAGACTGCCAAAAGGATTAATAATGTTAAAATGAACCTATGAATCGTGAAATACTAAAAGCTAACCTTTTCCCATCAAGCTTACCATAGTTTACCATTCTGAAAATGTTTGGTTTGGATGGCCTGAATACATGTTTTTACTAGTTAATAATTACAAAAAGTTGGATTAAAAACATATATTTCCTTTGAAATATAGGAGTACCTTAGATTAACAAAACGTGCGTTAAATACCATATAGGAATACGCTGTTTAAATTTGAATAAAATTGTACTGATTTGTTTATTATATTAGAGGTATACCTCAATCGTAGCAAAAAAAAAAATGCCAAGATTAATTTTTTTTCTTTTCTCGTTTGTAATCCATAATGTTATATAGTGACATTTTAAATTTATTTTAATTCAAAACAGATAGAAAATAGTGCAAATTAATAAAGAAGATATATAGCATCTAAACTGAGTTTTTAATATCTAATTAGCTCCTTTTTTAACACTTAACATGGAAAATTGCACCCCAAGCTGAGTTTATAAAACCAAATAGATGAAAATTGCATGTAATTAAAATGGAATGTGCAAAATTGCATGTAATTAGCCTTGGGTAAAACAACTTTGTTTCAAATATGTAAATAACAAATAATGATATGAAGGTATAAATTTTAATAACTCACATGTGAAACTTCAAATTTTATGGTCAAAATCTTATCATATTTATTTTTGAAAAATTTTGAAGAAAATTAATAATAAATCTGTTTAAAAGTTGGATTATCCATTAAGTCTGATGAATTGGCTTAATTTGACTCAAACTTTTGAATAAAAGATTTGAAACTCATACTCAATTTGGTTTAGTATGAAATATTTAAAATTAATAAAAATATTTTTATTTAATTTTAATTCTAAAATTTATTTTAAATTATTTAAATATTAATATTTTAATATTTTAATATATAGTTTAAAAAATTAAAACTATTGAGCCTAATAGATTGAGTCCGGGAGAGATCCAATCAATAATTTCTAATACATTTATTAATACCAAATGAAACTAAAACAAAGAAAAATAAAATAAAAATGGAGAAAATGGAAATTAAAAAACTATATATATAATATATAATATATTTGAAAGAGCGACAAGAAGCATGCAAGAACAGCTCAACATGTTGATGTTGTAAATGTGATAGCATATGGCTATTGTTAACAAATTAGTTAGGTAACGCTTAATTTCCTTATCCGATAGCTCATCATAAATGCCTTTTGACTTGATTTTTGTACCAACGAAATTCAAGTCCATCAACTTCCAACTCCTTAGCGTTAGGGACCAAACTCTCTCTTGAATATGTATGTCATATAGATCTACCTTTTTGTTTGGGTTTGAAATTTTTAAAAGAAGAAACGTGTGAATCTCGTCTTCAAGTTTTCTCATTGGAAACATATCGTATATAATCTTTCTTGTGATGTTCATTGCTGATAAATATGTGGTCCTAACAAGTGACAAACTTTGGTGAGAATTGCATGTCAGTTGCCAGGTTGTAATACTTAATTTTACAGACATTTTGCTTTGGTTTGGCTCGATCTGCCCATGCAAGGAAAAGTGCCTTTAACCTTTCTCCATTATTCAATTGTGCTTGCTTTAATTATTTGAATAAAAAGCAATGAAAAAAAATTGCTTCTTACATTATATTTTTCATTTTTTATTATTTTTTTAATATATTGGATAATGGTGTGTTAAGAATGGAAATTAAAATTTGGGCAAACAATGCGAAAAGGCCACTGTTAATTTTCTATATTTCATAATAGCAAAGTTCTGCTGGTAATTATAAACAATAATTAATTTCAAGAAAAAGTTTTGAATATTAGTCAGCTAAAACAATTATAAAAGTATATAAATATATGTAAAATTATTCATATTTTATTATTATTCAAATAAAAGCTAGGACAATTTCACGTTGGATTATTATACATGTCAAATATTTACTGTGTGTTTACACAATAAGTGTAAACACCATTTTTATTATTATTATTATTATTATTATTATTATTTATTTAATTTTTTTTCTCTCTTTCTTCCTGTTTTTTGCGTTTGTCTTTTTTTATTTTCTTCTTATTTCTTTCCTTCTTCCTTTTCCCTTCTTCTTCATCATTATTCGGTTCAAATCTAGTGCATTAAATACATAATCCCTAAAGTCAAAATCACCGTCGTTTGCTGCCAACGGTCGATCGACAAGCTACCAATCACGAATGGTAGGTGTAAATTTTCAGTCGAAAAATAGGATTCGAATCTCAGAAGATATGAGATTTGAATCCCAACAAGCTCTATAAATAGAGCTTGTTATCTGCAAACAGGAGCGGGAACCGAAGCAAAAAATGGCAAAAAAAAAAGGGAAGATTCTGTCGAAAAAAATTCTGCAAAAACACAAAAGAAAAAAGAGCAAAAACAATCCCCTAGAACAGGAAACTCAGCACCAAACTACACCTACAAAGACACCCAACAAAAATAAACCAGAAAACACACAAACAAAAAAAAATGTTTTTTTCATCGAAACTTTGAGAGCAGATCTAAGGAAGTGGATATTTTTTTTGGTGAAAAGAAGGTCAGATCTGTGCTTAGGAGGTCGAGAGGAGTTCGTGAGAATTTTTTTGAAAAATTTCGGCACTATTGACGGTGATCGGAGTTCGTCGCCGGTAAGGACTACGGCGGTCGCCACGAAGGAATGCCACCGGCCCCAGGTCGCCTGAAAAAAAAAATAGAGGAAGAAGGGTTTTTTTTTTTCGAAGGAAGGAAAGAATGAGTGAAAAATTTTTTTTTTGGAACATTTTATATAAACGCTCAGAACCAAAACGATGTCGTTTCATTAAAGACCCAAAACGAGGACGTTTTAAGAGCCCAAGATCCGCGTTTCAACCCGCGACCTGATCCGGGGTCCGCGCACCCAACCTGTCAACCCGTTTTATCTTCAGCCATTGACCGGTCTGACTGGACCAGAACTGAACCGCCTAGACCGAACCGAACCGTACTGAAACTCTGAACCGCCCAGACCAAGCCGAACTGCCGGATCGAACGGCCAAACCGAACCATATGTTGATCGGTTCAGGTAAAAAATTTTTTTTTTGAAATTTTCTTCTTTTTTATATATTATTTTATTAATATTTATGCATATTAAAATATTTATATTTGTTAGATTAAATGATGAAATTGTAGTTAAATTTTTTTATATAATTATGTTAATTTTTAAAATAAACTTTAAAAACAATAATATAAAAATAAATTTAATAATAATACTAAAGTAATAAAAAATGTAGGAAAAGGAAATTTTTATCCGACGATGAGATTCAAAGGTATTTCGAGTAGTGATGCCTATGAAATCTCTAGGTGAAAAGATTTTTTTAAAAATACTACTAATGTATTAGAGTATTTATAAAAAAATTTTCAATACAGTAAAGATTTTCTTTTTTTTTTAGTAATAAATAAAAATTGATTAATAAATTAAAACTATAAGTAATAAAAATAGGAATGAAAGAAATTTAATCCAATGATGAGATTCTAAAAGTATTTCGAGTAAAGATGCTTTAAGAAATCTCTAGGTGAGAAAATTTTTTGTAAAATATTACCAGCGTATTGAAATATTTATAGAAAATCTTCAATATAATTAAATTCTTTTTTCTTCAAAATTTTAATTTTAAATAAGAATATTAATAAAATAATTAATAAAATTTCTAACAAAAGAGAATAAAATACGTGCATAAACATGGTAACATTTTGCATTGCATGCATGACATTTTCTTACAAAAAATAAATTCAAGCCTCCAAAGATGAGATTCTAAAAGTATTCCGAGTAAAGATGCTTTAAGAAATCTTTAAGTGAGAAAGAATTCTTTTAATGTTACCAACGTACTGAAACATTTTAAAAATAATTTCAATAAAAATGTTTTAATTTATTTTTCTCAAGAATACATTTTTTTTAATAAATAAAAAAATCAAGGAAATTAATCTTCAAATACCGAAAATAAGATTGTTTTTATCAAAATTGAAGGATAACATGTAGTTAACTGGTACCATTTTTTTAACGGGCGCTGTGGGGGTGCTAATCCTTTCCCACATGTAACCGACTCCCGAACCCAGACAGTTACGCAGATCCTAAAATTATCTTTTTAATAAATTTTAAGATTTCATTAAAAA